ATCACATTGGTTGTCCCTTGCCTAGGAGAGGACAGGACACTTTAGATCAAACTGGGTCCAGTGGGGAAAAATATAATTTTCCTAAAGGATATTAAGGTGCTATTCTGAAAAGATGGAATGGATGTTTGGAAATCAAGAAAGCAACAGTCTCAAATACCTTTAATAAAGTATTATGCTAGAGTAACTTTCCTCAGAGAACCAGGAAATCTTATGTGTATTTTTTATCATTCTTTTGAGTATGCACATGCAAAGATATATAAGGAATAATATTGCCTAATAATTGACTTTAAAGCATATAATTGACAAGAGGTATTGAGCTATGTCTAAGATTCAGTTAATTGGAAGTATCCCATTTTATAAATGAGGTAGTTACCATATATGTAACCCAAGTTTTAACTCCGAGCTCATATAGATAGAGAAATTTGTTACAGCATTTAGAAAACTGGTGATTTTATTCACATATATCTGTTGGGAGAGGATCCTCCTTGGGAATATCCCATTTCTTTACATCTCGCAAGCAGAGACACTGATTGCCTTAGTTCTGGATTATCTTTTCAAAAATATTTTTCAGGGGCTTCCCTGGTAGCGTAGTGGTTAAGAATCCACTTGCCAAAGCAGGGAACATGGGTTTGAGCCCTGGTCTGGGAGGATCCCACATGCTGCGGAGCAACTAAGCCTGTGTGCCACAACTACTGAGCCTGCACTCTAGAGCCCGCGATCCACAACTACTGAGCCCGTGTGCCACAACTACTGAATCCCACGTGCCTAGAGCCCGTGCTCTCAACAAGAGAAGCCACCGCAATGAGAAGCCCGTGCACCGCAACGAAGAGTAGCCCCCGCTCACGGCAACTAGAGAAAGCCCGCACGCAGCAATGAAGACCCAACACAGCCAAAAATTAAAAACAAACAAACAAAAGAAAATATATATATATATATTTTTTTTTCAGAAGATAGAGGAAGTATCTCCTTCTGGAGTAGGTGGCAGACAGGTTTGCTGCCCAATATAATAAAGATAATGTCTCTTTCCAAAGCAACAGTCAGGCAGGATTACTGCCCATCATAAAAGGCTTGGGTTCTCTAAATTTAGGGTTCCTTTCCTGTAATGTGGCCACTGCATGTGTAGGTGTCAGCTGGCCCTCTTCACTTTGCCCTGTGGGAATCCGGCTCAGATAACGGGCACAAGGAAATGCTGATACTGTGGCTACTGCTATTGCTGGGAGTAATGAAGTCTTCTGTCTCTGACCCAGGAATCTTGTGTCTTCTGCTAGCATTCCTGAAACTATGGCAACTGACTTATGTATTTCAGACTTTTACAGTTCTTGACAATAGCAGCCTTTATCAACATTGACATTTTCCTTTATAGATATTGAAACCAAGGAATTTATTGAGTCTCTACCATGTACCAGCCACTGTGTTAACCTCTTTATATACATAGTTTAATCGTTAAATAATCCCATAAATTAATAACTATTTTCTTCATTTTGTGCCTTAGCACTTAGAGAATTCATTAGAATTCATTTCAGAGAGAGCCTTGCCATTTGCCTGTCTGTTTGTTTTGGTGACACAATACATTGATAATACTCTTGAGTAGAGGGTAAGACCTCAAGGACACATTTGAAAAATAAATGACTGTCATTATATTTATGACAAAGGGGTAATGTTTGTTGCTACTGAAAGAAGGGAAAGAGTTGGAAGTTAGAGAAAATGTCAGAGACTGATTACTAAGTGGAAAAAGGCAGAAGAGAAAGTAAAAATAACAAGGCAATAAAGCTGTGGTAGAGGGCAAGGCAGGGTACACAAATACTAGATAGGAGCCTATAGTGGGATGCTATGAATGCAATCCCCATGATCCCACAAATATTTAGGATGGACTGTACAAACCATGAGAAACTCATTTCAGGGATTAGATTACTTGCGGATCCTCTGGAAGGTTCCGAATTTCATATCCAGGTTTACATCCAGGGTGACATGAGGTTTGGAGGTCATGGTGAGTTGGTAAAACAGAGATGGCAAAACAGAGATGGCAAGCCAGAAGTCCTTGAAGCCCCCCAATACTATGTGGGATACTTTTTCAAGGAAAACCTGATGCTCATAGAGGTTGAGTATTTTGGTCAAACTCCCAGAGTTATTGTGCTGCGTGGCAGAGGTTTTAAGAACCAAACATTTTCATTATGTTTAAGTAGAGAATCGCAGAAATACAGTCAAGAACGTTTTTTTCGCTTAACTTATGTGGAACCCAAATATCAAAGCAATTAACATAACCTATGTGGTGCAAATGATTTTCAATGCTTGATTCAGATATTTTGAGTATGTCGGCTATCTCCTGCGTGGTATAACAATGATTGCTCTCAATTAATGTCTTGATTTGATCGCTATCAACTTCAACTGTTCTACCCGACTGTGGAGCATCGATCAGCTAGAAATCTCCAGCACGAAACATCGCAGACCACTTTAGACATGTTTGATCAGTCACAGCACCTTCTCTATACACTGCACAAATCTTTTTTTGTGTTTCAGTTGCATTTTTACCTTTCTCGAAATAGTAAAGCATAATATGCCGAAAATGTTGCTTTGCTACTGTTTCAAAGGTCTCTGGTTTATGGGACTAGATGAATGACAATTCTGTAGATGAAAATAGGAAATAGAGTGGGTTTAGAAGGGATGATGGCATCCATCACAGTTTGGGACACACTGAGCTCTTTATTAGGAATCAGGAGAGGGGTCTGGATTAAGTAATAGGAATCTGGAGACCCCCGTGTAAGTTACCACATCTGAGAGAACTTGAGATCATACTGTTAACATTCATGCTAGCATCCATCTTGCCTTTTTGAAACTTCCGTTACTTAAAAGGAACATGAGAAAAGTCTGAAAAAAGGAAACTGAAGGGAAAGACATGTTTTTGGTTGGCATTCAGGAGTGGTCAGGAAGCAGGAAGACATTAGGGTCTCCACCCAGGAACAGAGAGAAAGAACCTATGGAAGTTAAACAGAATCAAAGGAGGAGAGAAGGCTTAAGTCTCATTCTTTACATGCTAAATCCTGCTCAATGCTGTAACCCCTCGTGAGAAATGCGGAGTATCATCTCAGCTTAGGCCGGACCCTGCGATCTCGCACATGTGTTCCCTCAGCCCCCCCCCCCCCAGGGCGATTGGAAATGGCCCGAGTGTGGCAAATGCACGTGAAGCGACACACTGAGCAGCTTCCCCAGCACAAAGCCAGCCTCTCGGCCTGCAGAGGTGTCTCCAAGTGGAGGGGGCCTCGTGCTTGCCAGACACCTCTGTGTCTGTGTTGGCTGATGTGGGTCGTCATCTGACGGCCGCAGAGGGGGAGAGGGAGAAGGGAGCTGTGAGGTTCCCCTGCAGATGTGCAAATGCTCCCCCCATTCAAGGGCAGACTCAGGGAAATCAGCTCATATGATGATTCTCCCAACAAACTAATTCTCAGGAATAGGTTAAGAGCATTGGGAAGCCCTGGGGTTGGGTTTAGTTTACCAAAGCAGTACTTCGTGAGCCTCATATATTGTGCTCCCCCTTCTGCTGCTGGAGTGGAATAAAGTGGAAGAAGAGCAGAGAGAAATTATCTTACCTTCTGAGCGCAGGACACAAAGTGGTGAAACTCACGCATTTCCACAAACGTTAAATTCCCCTCCTATTACTCAGCAATTATTGGCAAGTTAATTGGTTCTAGATCTCAACATTATCACTTCCTGTAGGAGGCTTAAGATAGAGTTTGTCAATGTTCTTGGCAATATATTACACACACACCAGCATTTGAGGCAAAATGGAAAGATATAACTTTATTATGCAAAATTTTCAATTTGAATATATCTACCCAGCCACAAATGGAGAAACGAGAGTCCCACAGTGCTGCCTGGAAGGCTGGGGAGGCAGAGGTGGGGCGTGTGTGGTGTGTGTGTGTGTGTGTGTGTGTGTGTGTGTGTGTGTCTGGAGGTGCCTGGTGTGTGTGTGTGTGTGTGTATAGCATGTGTGTGCTGGTAAAACTTTCCTTTTCTATGGAATCACAAAGGCTGGAGGTATAACTGTTTCCCCCAACACCTTTTTCCCTTGGAGCAAAGACTGATGAAAGTGAAGAGGTAGTTATATAAGATGGAAACTAGGCAAGAGAAACTATTTCTAAAATTATTGAAAAGTAAGGATTAGAGCAAACATTTTCTTTTCTTTTGAGCTTGTACCTGGAGCTTAAGCAATTTTAAGCCAGCAAAAGGATCATAGTGTGGCTGCAACAGCAGTGCAACTGATTTTATATCTGCCTAGGATTTAACATCCTGCAGGTGCCCAGGATGATTAGAAGAAAGTGACAGAAATGAAATGGGGCAAAGGGACCCTCAAGCTGGGGAGAATAATGGCTGCTAAATGACTCTGTCCTCCCCTCCAAATATGGACTCAACCAAAATTAGTGCATAGACAAAGAATCAGTGTGAGATGCTTTGAGCTGCCTGGACATTTTTGAAAATAAGTGAGTGTTTAAAGAATAATTGTTAAATTGAATCATTGAATTGGGAGATACATGTCTTTTAGATTCAATTCTAGCAGTGTCTGAGCTACATGAAAAAGTATCAATACATGAAAGCAACCAATCAGGCCCACGCTTCTACCTTTAATGCACTTTAACGTTAAATGTACATTTTCCTTTTTCTATGTAGGAGCTTAAATGAGATACTTCCCTTAACCCAGGGGGTAACATAAATTCTATAAAATATATAGTATTTTTTATCGAAATACTTTCTCCTAGAAGTATGCTCTTATAACTTCAAATTGATGAAGACCCAAAGAACCATAAAACAAGTGGAACTTGCTGGAATAATTTAGGAAGCAGAATTATAGCATGCATAGAACTGGGCGGCCAGCCCTGAGGCAGTTTTGAATCCTGGCTCTGCCATTATCTTGCCATGGGACTTGGATTAATCACCTGTAACAACGGGATAATTATACCTCTCTTGCTGGGTGATAGAGCTGAATAAATAAACTAAGGAAAATCATCTGAAGTTAGTCCATGCTTAATAATATTAGAAATTTATTCTGAAATATTATTTTTGTTGATAAGGAAAATGGGGTTAAAAAAATATCTATGCTAGTGAGCGTTACAGGTTGGCCTCACTCCCAGACCTAACTAGACTCCAAGGAAGGTTTTCTTCTGACATCACATCACAACCATGACAAAGTGAATACATCTTTCTCTTCATGCGATACCTTCAAGTCAAAGACTGAATTTCTCCATGACCTTTGAAAACTTAAAATATGCCTGGTCTTACATTTCCAAAGTAATAGAGACCACCGTGTGGTGTGACTTCCTATCTTTTCAAAGGGATAGAGCTATTCCTCACACAGTTTCTACAAACTGTGTGTGATAATGAAGCAAGTGCCACAGCACAGGGGTATGACCTTTATAATGAGCTGAGACAGAGACGTCCCCAAATGATTCTGGGGGAGGGTCACAAGAGGGACTGGCTGACTCGCAGGCCGGGGATGTGGAAACCCGTCTTCTTGGAACTACAGTAGCACTCTGAGCAAGGGGTCCTCTTTGCACATTTGCAGTCACCCACCGGGAGTTGAAATGAAATTAGGTCTCGCCTAAGCTGGATTTTCTCCCAATACATTAGCATTTGTACAATCTTGACAATGTTTGGCCGTTTGCTAATTAGTAGTAGGATGACTCCAGTAATAGTGATGGTATGATTAAATCATGTTTTACTGCTGTTGAATTGACCTACAACACGGCTACCAAGGGGTACTTCTTATATATACGTTCAATTTTTACTCTGGTGAGCACACCTCAGTTGGCAAACTTAATCCACTGCTAGGAGCTGGATTACAATGACTTTTTCACTAATTCAAGGAAATGGAAATTAAAAAAAATACACCTAACTGTTATGATGCAACTATTGTTTTTCTGATTCACTTATACTGAAGTATTGGCCAAGAATGATTTGTCTCTTTAATCAGTTGTAGAAAAAACAAAGCTTTAGTGAATTAACGTAAGAGAAGGATATTTCTTTCTCAAGAATTATCAAGAATTAAACAGCCAAAGACTGAGGTTGAAAGTATTTAACTGCTTAGGCAGTTAAAGGCTCTTTCATCTTCCTATTACACAAAGCTTCAAGTATTTCCAGAAATTGAAAAAACAGAAACGATTGAGCTGGAATTAAGCAGAATAACTTTTGGAAGTTGGAGCTAGATAGTCTCAGCTCTTATCTCTGGATTGTTTACTGGACTGCAGCTTCAGTGGACGCTCCTGGTTTTCTTTGGTTACTTCTAGAAGTACAGATATCCGTGAATCTCACACTCCTGCTTTATACCCCCTCGCAAAGATGATCTCCAGTTGGTCCTAGTAGAATCCTTATTAAATGGATGAATACTTTTAAACCTGCTTAATCTTTAGACATCTGTCACGTCACTGTATAATTTAATTGCAATAAAATTTGGATACATTCGTTTTCCGTTTTAATTGGTTTGAGAAGACAGAGTTACGTTTTTTGTTAATAATTACGCAAATGCACAGGAAGAAAAACACAGATTTAACTGCAGATCGATGTGTCTCTGAACTACTTCTCTAAGTATACATGTACGCAGCAAAGCCATCACCATCACATTAGGATTTTCTCATTTCCAGGAAGCTGGAAGTTGTGATAGGTTGTATAATTTTGGCCCCTAGGACTTGATCAGGATCTCAGCTGTCACAGCCTTGTCCTCCATCTGTGCCAAAGGGAAACATTACCAGGTATGAGTAGTGGAGGAGGTGATGTGCAGGTGTGGCAGACACAAGCCACAGTAAAAAGAGGAACGAGGGCCCTCAGCCGAGCTCTCCCTCGGCCTGTGTGCTCCTCCAACAGCGTGTGCTTCTACGCATTGGCTTTCTTTTCTGAGGAGAAACCTACGAAAAACAGCAGGAAAATGTTTCAGATTGAAAATTAAAAGTTCATTTCTCTTCTTCTGGCTTAGGGCTAACAAAAACTTCGAGGCTGGTGAGAAAAGAAGTATTTTATTCATGAGCACCCACAAGTTTACACTGAGAAATCAAGAGGCAGCAAATGGAAGGTTATTATTTTCAGGACTGACATATGCTTACCGTTTCATGAAATCACTTGTGGCCTCGTCCTAGTCGTGCCTGACAAGGATACACTACTTCTCATCCTTGCTGGCATTTCGGTGGCTCTGGCGTTCGCTTATGAAAGTGAGTCATATGTGTTACTATTTGGTTCAGTACTCATCCCACAGAGAGATAACTGCCAAATAAAGTACTTTAAAAATACGATACTGGGTGCGTTCTTGCCGAAGCCATAGAAAAGATCACAGTTCTTATGATGTGAGAGTGTATCATGAAAACCAATAAGAAAAATTTGGAATATTTTAGTAATAAAATGCCACAAATAAGTGCCATAGGGAAAACAAAATCAAAGAAGTCTACTCATGGCAACAGAAAAAAAATCGCATAAATGCCAAGAAATAAGGTGTTTCCCTGATTCATGATAACTTTTTAGTATATGTTAAATGTTTTATACTTGCTGCCCTGCATTTGGTATTTCAAAGATATGCTAAACTAACATTTTAGTAACAGGAAGATAAAAGGTTACTTTTTCAGGTTGAAAAAATATTCTTCTGAGAACTGCGGCCATTATATAAAAAGGTATCTACTGGAAACAAAATGAAAAGACAAGCTACTGAATGGGAGTAAATACTTGCAAATGATGTGACCGATAAGGGGTTAATATCTAACATATATAAATAGCTCATACAACTCAATATCAAAACAAACAAACAAACAACCCAATTAAAAATGGGCATAAGACCTGAACAGACATTTTTCCAAAGAAGACAGTCATTTGACCAATAGGCACATGAAAAGATGCTCAACATCACTGATCATCAAAGAAATGAAAATCAAAACCACAATGAGATATTAGCTCACACCTGCCAGAATGGCTATCAACAAAAGGACCACAAATAACAAATATTGGCAAGGATGTGGAGAAATGGTAACCCTTGGACACTGTTGGTGGGAGTGTAAATTGGTGTTGCCACTGTGGAAAACAGTATGGAGCTTCGTCAAAAAAACTAAAAATAGAACTACCGTATGATCCAGCAATTCCACTCCTGGGTATGTATCTGAAGAAAACAAAAGCACTAATTCAAAAAGATATATGTACTCCAGTGTTCATAGCAGCATTGTTTACAATAGCCAAGATATGGAAGCAAACTAGTGTTCATCAACAGATGAATGGATAAGGAAGATGTGGGATATATATATATATATATATGTATAAAAATATATACTATATGCATTATATATATCCATTACATGTATAATGGATATATATAATATATATAATACATAATACATATATAACGGAATATTACTCAGCCATAAAAGAGAATGAAATTTTGCCACTTGCAACAACATAGATGACTTGGAGGGTATTATGTGAGATAAGTCAGACAGAGAAAGATAAATACTGTATGATATCACTTATATGTAGAATCTAAAAAATACAACAAACTAGGGAATATAATAAAACAGAAACAGACTCACAGATATAGAGAACAAACCAGTGGTTACCAGTGGGGAGAGGGAATGGAGAGGGACAAGAAAGGGGCAGGGGATTAAGAGGTACAAAGTACCATGCATAAAATAAATAAGCTCCAAGGCTTTATTGTACAGCACAGGAAATATACCCAATATTTTATAATGAATGGATGAATATGTTATAATGAACTATGAGGAGAGTATAACCTTCAAAAATTGTGAATCACTATGTTGTACACCTGAAACTTACATAATACTGTAAATCAACTATACCTCAATAAAAAAAGAAAAAAATATTTAATGCCTTTTTGGAAAGTTATATTAAACGTAATAAGTATCTTACTTTCTCAGAAATGTGAGCTACAGTTTCTACAGGAACTCAGCCCATAACGTCCTTAAGATATTTGTGGTGTACGTTTTTGAAATTACATGCAATTTATGGCACCGAATTACAATTTATGGCAAAGAATTCATTTACAATATATACCTGAACTTTTGGTGTATTTTAAAGACAGACTAGACATGATTATGCACTAAACTGAGAAAATATAAAAATACAGGTAAACATGTGTTTAGATGGGAATGTAACTTTGTAATAATTTTTTAAAGTCTGGAAGCATTCCTTAATTTGATCAAAAAGTTTTTGCATTTCCAAAAAGAAAAGATATCTAATATGGTGAGAACATAAATTTGGATCCAGAAGCATGATCTACTGGTCTAACCAATCCTGAAGTTTAGAATTAATCCATTAATTAATGATGCCTACCTCTAGGTATCTTAAAACATTAAGAAAAATTAGTTCCTGTGTAGTTTTTACAGCACTCTTGTGAAATAGGTATAGGGGCAAGGGCTACTACCCACAAGTTTTAGATGGAGAGCAGCTATGGCCCATGAGATAATCCATGGCAGAATGGAAATCTGAACAAAGGCAAATACAGGTCTTGAGTTCCTAGAATGGAAGGCAGAGTGTCCTTATATATAGTGAAGTTGGTTAGAGACTTCTGTCGTGAGACTTGGCTCTGCAGTTATGGGGGCAGGACAAGAGAAACACCACAAGGGAATGTGGGTCCTCACCTGCTAGGAAGAATTGGCTTTGCCTTATTGCTTGGTGAAGGACTCTACCCACTAATTGGGTAAGTAATTATCTATTAATGGTGTTGGTTACACTGTAGGTTTCCATGTTCACAGGAGCACAGGTTAAGTAGCCTGATGCCAAAGTGATCTGAATAGACCCCAGAGATCTTGGTGACAGAAGCCATGTCTCAACTCTACATCAAGTATTCGCTGAATCTAAAGTACAGTTGGTGGTTAAGAGTGGAGGGGGTATCAGCGCCGCAGAGGGGTTTTGAAAGGATTGAGGGGACTCTGCTCTCTACATGCCCACTAACCCCTTAGAATGTGAACGCTTAGGCATGAACAGTAAGGAAACCTAGGTAAGGAGACTTTCTTCCCAGTTGGGATGCAGAAGAATAAAATATATACCTTGCTTTCCTTCCCTATGGATTTTTATCTTCCATTTAATAGAATTACTACAATTTCATTTACCTGGTGGAATTGTGACTAGTCTAGACTTATTGTGTGCATTTTTCTCATCTAGGATCGATCTATCTATCTTCTGTATCTATTCATACAAAATGCTAAATAGAATGTTTAGTCTTTGCGTATAAAATCAGTGTTTGACTAGGAATATATTTACCATCTGTATTTTCATATGTTCCTGTACATGTAAATATACTTTTGCGCTTTATTATTCTTTTAGCAAAATCATTTAGTTTACTGATAAGCTGACCTTTAGAGCATTAAAGGTGAGGCATTTCTCCTGTAATTCTTTTCAAACAATCTAGAAACAGGCACAAAATTATCTGCCTCTAAGTTTCAATTAATTTCCTTTATTAAGACAGTAATGTATTTGATAAAAGAAAAATATTGTAATAATTTATCCATCTGTATTGAAAATTATACAAAGTATGGTCTTCAAGTTTCTTCTGTTTCTTACATTTCTTAAGTACTTTTTACTATTTACACTGGTCCATTTATCTCTTCATACTATTAGGAACTGGAAAAAATCCAACTAATCCAAGCCATTTACCAATGTAAAATCACCTGTAATGTTTAAATAAAGACAGTTATAAAAAGACACACCCTGGGGGCTTCCCTGGTGGCACAGCGGTTGGGAATCCGCCTGCCGATGCAGGGGACACGTGTCCCGGTCCGGGAGGATCCCGCATGCCGCTGAGCGGCTGGGCCCGTGAGCCATGGCCGTTGAGCCTGTGCGTCCGGAGCCTGTGCTCCGCAACGGGAGAGGCCACAGCGGTGAGAGGCCCGCGTACCGCAAAAAAAAAAAAAAAAAAAAAGACACACCCTGAGACATAAAGATTCTGGTTTTCAGGACAGACAGGACGATTAGAATTTATTTAAATAGAATAAATGCAAAGTATGACACTATTACATTTTACTTAATGCAGAGCATGGGGTGGTCCACATTGCTTAGTGGTTACAATGTGGGCTTTGGAGCTAGACTGTGTGAGCTTGTCTGTGTCCCAGCCAATAACCAGCCATGTCCAACCATGTGAGTTGGACAAGTTACGTGATCTCTCTGCTTCTCAGTTTTCACATTTACAAAACAGGGACAACGGCAGTCCTCGTTTCACATGGTTGCTGTAAGGTTTTGACCAGATAATAAATATAAGGCCCCTAAAATAGTTTCTGGCATACGGTTAGTGTTATTGGGTGAAACGTGTCCCCCCAAAAGATATGTTTAAGTCCTTGCCCCTGGTACCTGTGAACGTGTCCTTATTTGGGAATAGGGGCTTTGCAGACATAATCAGGTTAATATGAGGTTACACTGGATTAGCCTAATCCAATATGACTGGTGTCCTTATAAGAAGAGGAAAATTTAGACACAGACACAGAGGGAAGATAGCCACGTGAAGAGAGAGGCAGAGATTGGCCTTATGCTGCCGCAGCCAAGGAACATCTGGGACTACTAGAGGCTGAAAGGGGCAAGGAAGGACCCTCCGCTACAGGCTCTGAAGGCAGCACGACCGTACCAACACCTTGATTTCAGACTTCCAGCCTCCAGAGCTGTGAGAGCGTAAATTTTTGCTGTTTTAAGCCACCTAGTTTGTGGTACTTTGTTATGGTAGCCCTAGGAAACGAATTCAGGCAGTATTCAATTAATTCTTTATTATTAGACATCGGTAAAGGCCAATTATAATGGTTGGGCTTTGATCTTCTATATTGTAAAGAAATAATGATGTTTGCTCACAACACAATCTTGCATGCCTACATTTCATGCCATTCCAAATATGTAAGAATTGAGCTCCAGCTCATTAGACAAAGTTCAGCTCTATACCATATGAAAATTTTGGAAGGTACAGAAGTGATCGGCATACAATAGGGTCAGAAAACATAGCCTTTTGACATTTCAAAAAGGAGGAAACAAACAACGTGCTTTCAAGGTTATACTAACTCTGCTGTGCCGTAATTGTTCGGGAAACACGGAAGTCATTTTGCACCTCATTCTGACAACAGATAAAATGAGGTGAAAAGTTCTTTGTAAAATCACATGTTTGAACAGAAACTGTAACCCGTTGACATCTGGGGACATCATGTGGATGTTGCATTTTCTACATCATGTAGAAAAATGCCATTATTTAATGCTATGCAGAGAGAAAGCTAGGAAAGTCTCAAAGCCTTGAAAACCTTTATTTAAATCTTGAGGTTCTGAAAGAAGATTTGATTTTCAGTGTGTCCCCAAAGCACTCTAAAATAGCCACAGACAGTGGCTGAGAGCAAGGCTGGAAATCAGTTGACCTGAAGACTGTCCCATGTTGTACTCAGTACCAACTGACCTTAATCCTCGGCCAGGGAGCCCTTCACTGGGTCCCCACTCTTCAGAGGACCCTGCTCTGGCCCTGCTCCAGCCAGACTCCCTCTCATCATGTGGGCCTACCTTGCTTTAGAACAAGCTCCTGGCACCCACAAGCAGACCCCCAGATTCTTTGCCAGGTGACCCCGGGTCTGCTTCCAGGCCCCATGTGGTCTTCTTCCCCAGGCCCGAAGCCAAGGGGTGCTGTTTGTAGGGTAGTGAGGGGTATATGAAGTTGGGATGTGCCTGCTGGCTGTCCTCAAATTCACACTCAAGACCCCTCCCAGTGGGTAGGTGGGAGGGAAGGGGGTGGGCCATGGCTCAGGTCTTCCCGTGCCACTGCTTTCTGGCACAGAACTGGTTGGAATCTGAGTGTTCTAGATTTGATGCTGGCCTTCCAGTTATATTTATCAATAGGAGGATAGACTATACTTTAATAGCTTCTAAGCCTGATCCATAATGTTTAAATAGTTACAAATAAAGTATGCAGCTTTCCTTGTGTTCTTGTCGCAGACCCTGGGAATGTCAGAGGAGGCTCTAGCGGTAGCATAGACGTTTAGTCACCCACTTTGTACCCACTGTCCCTTTTAAAAATCACAAGGCTGCCGCTCTATGTGTAGACATTGGAGCCACTATTTCAGGTTAAATTATAATAAGAGGAATAATTATAAAGGAAGATACTAAGATAAAAATATCCTACATATATTGGGGTCAGAAAAATAAATTTGTCAGGAGTAATAGGAAATTAATAAAAACCAAGAACTAGGACAATCTAGGAAGCATATGTACTAATTAGTATTAATTTAAATATCCACATTTTAAAAAGGATCCTTTTTATTTAAATATAAATAAAATATTTTAAGTATTATATGAATAAAACATATAGCAGTTTTCAGAAATAGCTTGTTTATAGATTATCAGAAACAGAGTCTAATTTTTCCACTCATTTTTCTTTCCGTCGCTTGCATTTTGGTATTTCTAGTCCAAAACACAGGCTATATTGACTAGCAGTATATTCTTGAATAGTGGAGAATAAATGTATTGGTCATATGATGAGACAATAAAAATATCTTTATAATAAAAGCTCTTTAAACCCATATTTTTTTTAACAATCAATACTACACAATTATTTTTAAGAACTCTGAGCAATTGTGTTGGATCGACAAAGCAAAAGGAGCTTTCCAATTAAATAAAACAAAAAATAACAAGATTCACTACCGAAATTAAATAATGGCACGTGGGATGTTTGTGACAAGGGTGATTTCAGAGCTTCTGCCAAGTGTCATGACCTGGCTTGAGCTTTGAAACAGCATCAGCTTTGGAAGCTAGAAAAGGGGCAACAGGAATTCCAAGCAGGTAGATTTTAAAGTAAGGAGGTTTCTTTCTATAATAGTCCCCTAGTCATGATCAGCCCTCTTCCCTGTAGACAAGCCACAGTCAGCTGCAGAGCAGTGCTGGTATGGAGGACAGGTTTCAAATGGTAATATAACCCTTCAGTTTCCACCAGGACTGCCCAAGCAAGATTTACCTCATAACACATTTATTATGCACTTATTCTTACATAGTACTGTGTCTTTTACCTGTGATATTCTAAGTGTCAAATGAGAAGCACAGATAATATATGCTATGAGTTCTTAGGAAGAAGAGATTATTGAGGGTTAGATACTAGACCTATAATTATCCAAGTTAAGACCCCCATTGTCATTTTTATATCTACCGTTTTAGAGAGTTTTAATACAGTAAGAGAGGTAGCTTTTCAAGGGCACTACAGGATATGATTCAAGCACAGGTTTTGAGGTGTTATATACCTGGAATCTAATCCCAGGGTTAAATCTTCCTAACTCTGTGATTTAGGCATGCTACTTAAATTCTCCAAGCCTCAGTTTCCTCATCTGTAAAATGGTATAATAATAAAACTTACTTTATATCTGTAGACCCTGTCACACACATGTTTATACATCACAGAGCTCTTATATTTCTTCCCAAGTAGACAAAAATCAGTAGGTTTCACACACTGACTATAAAATTATAGTTTTGCATGTTATTTAGTTTTTGAAGATCATCACAATTCAGTCCTATTTTATATAATCATTAGTTTCTATTACTTTGGTCCAGGACGAATACTATAGTGATATATAAATGGCTTTATGATATTATCGAATTCTCTACTGCATAATTGTATTTTCTAGTGATTAAACTCCAACTCAGGAGAAAATATCTTTAATATTCATTCCAGACCAATATAATATAAAACGGGAAACTATAATTGGATGGCAACTCAGCTAATGTATTTCAGAAACACAGACATTATGCAACCATCATTATGGTTAATAGTATGCCTTTCTATTAAAAGCTCTCCTTTATGACTGGAACCCAAGAACTTCATTAAAACCAATGGTTATATTAGTAGTAGAAAGAAAAGAAAAAAGAAAGTCCTACAGTTTTCTGATAAATACCTAGACATTTTATTATAGAGTTCTCACTTTTTATCTTTCTTCTCCATAATGCTACTGTGAGCTACGGCCTTTGCCACTCTCAGTGTTGCTGTGTACAGCTGTCCAGGTTGTGTGGTGCACAAGTGTAGGAGGCTCCATTTACGCAGACTACCATGAAAAGCCCTTGGACTTGTGAAGTTCCCAACTGGAAAATTACATACGGTATCCCCGGCTCTCTACTTCCACTCCATAATGGATTCCTTGTACTAAACACTAGAATTCTGTGACCTCAGATCTGAACTAAATGAGATAACATTCCAAGTATGGCCTGAAATTGGAATATGGCTCCTCTTCAGCTTTTGTAGATAGATTCCAATCTCTGGAAATTAACAACTTAGAGTCACAGGTATGTGTCATATGGAATGTTAAACATGCAGCAGACATTGCTGACTTCTGATTATATGTGATGAAAACAGAGGAGGGATTATAATTCTAGCCCAGTGTATTCAGCCCACTCCTGGGTGGCCTCATGAGATCAGAGAAACAAGCAGTAGAAAGTATAGCAGATTCTGGAAAGAAAGAAGAGAATGGTAAACCAAAGAAAAATAACGTAAGAGAGTACTCTTAGTTGTGAGTCCTTGGTAGGTGACTTTTTCATTCTTCTCAGCATACTTAGAAGTGGGCGTTGTGGGCAACTCTGGCCTAAACTTGGAGCCTGACACTTAGTCATTAGGGAACACAGCTCTGAGCCTTTGGTTTCCTCTGTCTGTCTGCCAGTGACATTTAAAACATCTGTCTAGCAAACTCAACCTGGAATGGTGGATGTGCATCTGCCTTTGCAGTAGAATCACAGAGCTTTGTTGTTGTTGTTATAATGCAGCTCTGCTGGAAGTTCTCATTTCTAACCCCGGATGGAATACTGACTCTGAGATGGAATAGGAACAGACGCCAGAACTGAGATCCATGCATTTCTGCATTCGAACATTTTCTTTTTCTAAAGGAGTTCAATTTAACCCCAAGTGCATCGCATTCGAACATTTTCTTTTTCTAAAGGAGTTCAATTTAACCCCAAGTGCATCACATTAGAGGTGTGTATGCAACTCAACTTTATAGTGGGTCCTCCCCGAGTATGAGTGAATGTATGTCGAGTAAACATCCCCAAAAGAGCCCATTAAAATGTAAACATGAAAGAATGCTCAATACAGCTGCGGTCTTACCATTCGCCTTGTCCTGCACATCTGGCGGAAACAGGTCGGGAGCATACCACTGACAGTCTGGCTGTGTGGAACAATAAAACATTATTATAGCAACATGGGCTTCAAACCAAACATAGTGGTGTGTTAAAAACATAACTACGCTATGTGGCTTTTGTTATGCAGGCAACACAAAAGGAGTTTCTATCCAGACCTGTGGCCAATCTTGCTCACCCCTCTTATCTCCCTCATCACTATTACCATCTCCCTACCCCCCTCCTAAATCCACTCTGTGTTCAGCCAGAATGTCTACTACTTTGCGATTGTGTTTTTTTTTTTTTTAAACCAGATGTGTTTTGGATATGTGCGGAAGTATAAAGACTTTTGTAAAACTTACTGTAGCCCGTAAATAAAACAAAAGAATTTATCATCAACAATACTCTTTATAAAACCCTCGCACAGGAGGCAACAGGAAGACCAAGACAACAATGTACAAGTTTAATGTTTTCTGGTGGCTCAAGGAAGAAATCTAAGCCATTACATGAGGACATGGCTTATAGAGGCTCAGGATGGTAAAGGAGTGAAAATCTTTCCCTTTGTACTGTTCCTCTGCAGAAACTATTCTAAATTGCTTAGTTTAGACTAGAAAGTCAGTGAGAAGAGAGGGTAGACTTGCATTTTTCTCTTGGGATTTCTTTTCCTAGATTTACACCAATTAAGAACAGCTAGACATTGAACATCAGGAAACCTGTTAAACAAATTGCATTGAAATAAATCATAAACTATAGACCTGAATTTCAAAATACAGTTCCAAGGCCAGAATCTTTGTATTTAACCACTTAGAACAGAGGAATCTCAGCTTTCCCTGCCAAGGAGGTTGGTCTGTCTTCCTGCTCCAGATGCTTGTTTCTGCTTCCTCTACCTTCTCCCCAAGACCCAGAGAAGACAGGCCCTTTGTTCTATTATCCAATTACCACCTGAAAATAACTCAGGAGAATTTTCTCTAACAACGAGCCAATAGGGGGCATTTTACAGGGCTGCCAGACCACTGAAAGTAGACTAAGAGTTCAATTATCTAAGATGTTAAGAAATGCTGCATTTGGTACTGCCTGACCCCACTTTACCCTCACTCAGACACCTAGGCTCCTGGCTCTTTTTGGTCCACAAAAAGCTAGAACAGGAAATGAGATCACCTCCGTTTTTCATCTCCTCGTTTATTTTTAGATGTCTCAAATAACACATAGGATAAGTGACATGAGCCTCAGTTTTATATTCCAGGACAGTTGCCAAAAGAAGGTGAATATACCATAATTTTACAAACACTATCGCATGTGCTTTAATTCAGGCTTAGAAATAAGCATGAGACATGAAATATTCTTTTAAAATGAACTCTGGGAGTTTCTGTAATTTCTCTCCTTATACTGAGATTTTGTTTAAGTGAATATTGATTGAAAATGTAGTCGTTACATGGCGTGGAATCTTGTTTCAAATACAGACGTTTATCTGGTGATAATTTTAAGTGATCTGGACTGCCTTATCTCTTGTAATTGATAGAAAAGGTTTGATGAGCTTTTATAGTAGGTGAACTTCTGCCTTTTTTCCACAAACGAAGATTTGAAGAAAACAGTCATTTTTACTTGTAGGCAAACTTGAATGAGTCCTTGGATTTATAGTTAACCTTCCACGAGAGTATTTCCCCCAATTCCCTAACCTGCAGACAACTAAACTCCTTAGTAAATTTCTATCTCTTTGTTTCCCACAATATTAATTTCCTTCTACATTCTGAAAAAAATACAGAATGATAGCTGTGTTTGGAGATTCCCAGAAATGTTTCTAGTGAAAAGTAAAAAGTAAGCAAACGGGTAAAGAAAAAAGAAAATGGAGGAGGGAGAGCAGACAGAAGAAGCAACCAACAACAACACAAAAAGAACCAAATTCTCAGCTGTATGCTGTGTCACACCAGGGTCAACTAAGAGATGCTCATTAAATTCTGACATCCTTCCTTCCACCACCCAAAGAGTCATTATCTCTTCCCTTGGGAAAAGGGCTTCTGAGTCACACTCAAATACAAAAGTGTGAGAAGTTTCAGGCAACTAAGAGAACTATGTACTCCTTAAGTGTCCTGCTAGGAAAATCCTGCTAGGATTTAAAATCTCAGATTCTTTGCCTAATTAGAAACACAGTTAATAATAACTAAGGGGGAGGAGGTTGTCTGAGCCAATCCAAAATGCAGAAAAATGCATGATTTATTTCCTGTATGAAGATTCTGTCTATGTAGGCAAAAATAGAGAGTAGAGACAAACTTCCAGACCATGGGGGATGGTGGGTGGAACACTGTTATTGAGAAGGAAAGGGAGGGTGCTCTGGGTCTGACTTATTCAGGTTGACTGTCCAAAGCAATTTCACTCACAACTAATGGCTCCACTGTTCACTTCATTTTGCTTGGGTAGACACAGCCATAGAGAGCAACTTAAGTGGGTCACTTTTTCTTGGATCCTTTAAGAAGATGCTTTCAACTGGAAAATGTCAAAAACTATTTTGCACAGATGTAGCAATATTCATAGTAGTTGAATATAAGTCTACAACTGAAAAAGGTATCACCCAGACTGTTTTGCTATATTCACTTTGCTTTTCTTTATACACAGAAATGTCTTTTCGGTAGAGTCAGGTATGTCATTAAAAATGACCCATATAAAGTGTTATATGTTTGTTCCTGGAATTTTAGCTCAATTCGATACCTTTCAGTTAATGTATTCCTATCTATATGTCCTATGGATACAGTGACCCAAAGATAATTATAATGTACATAGACCACTGTAACTCTGCAAATTAGAGGCTGAGATAAATAGAGGCTCTTTATGTAGACAGTATTATGTGCCAAAATTCCTGAGACAGACATCATTTCTACCAAAAGAGAATATTAGCACTTATTAGAGATATAAGCACTTATTTGTTGCAATGAGAGCTCTTACTTACTGGGTACTTCTGTAGATCCTGCACAGCCCCAGGGCCTGTCGGTAGGCATGGATCCCGTAGGTGGAAATTCCAGCCGTAGTTACTGGTTAGGAAATACATCTGAGGAGAACAATGCTGTTGGTTCATGGGAAGTGGGTGAAATTGGGGAATCACACTGACACTTGTTTTATACAACCACAAAGTTTGGTTAAAATCTTAAGGTTTAGCCTAAATCTGGCATAATACAAATTCAAGATAGGAGGCCTGTCAATGCAGACTCTGGACTGATACAGATGAAGCTCACAGGCCAAATTTTACTTAAGGTGAAGCTGTAGCTACTTTTCCATGTTGAAGAAATTAGAAACACTTGAAAATGTATGTAGAGTTAACTTTGTGTCTCTGAGTTATCTTCACAGAATCCTTGCTTAAGAAGAACCAGCCTTTAAGCCATAAAATAAATTTTCTTAAACTGCAGCCAGAGACACTGATGACATAACTAAAGTCCAGAGAGGAAATTAGGAATTAAGAGAAACAATATTCATTCCTTAAGGTTACTAGCGAACCAATGGACTAGAATGCTCCAATACCCAAGAAGATACTCTACTTTCTCAAAAGAAGGCACAAGTCTTTGACGTAGTTTTCCACTGTTGTGGAAGCAACTGCAAGAAATACCAAGGAAATATATTTCCCAGGTGTTTGTGAGTCTATGAAGAAATCTCTGTTTGCATGAACACACACCAAAGCTTGTGCTACTGTAAAAACATGTTCTGTAACATGTGCTTTTCATGAGTGTTAGGGTTGAGAGGCCTTGGTGGTACCTAAGCATTAACTCTCCACTGACATTTTAGTTGACAATGAAAAGCATGAGTTGTCCTAGGCCATCTGTACCAGAGTTTGAAAATGCCTTCAATTGGGACCGTGAGGACCTGCTGTATTTGGGAATAAATGTGTAAAACTTAAAGTTGGAATTTCAAACATGACAAGAGGTTGGGCTTCCCTGGTGGCACAGTGGTTGAGAGTCCGCCTGCCGATGCAGGGGACACGGGTTCGTGCCCCGGTCCGGGAGGATCCCACATGCCGCGGAGCGGCTGGGCCCGTGAGCCATGGCCGCTGAGCCTGCGCGTCCGGAGCCTGTGCTCCGCAACGGGAGAGGCCACAACAGTGAGAGGCTCGCAAAAAAAAAGAACAAACAAACACGACAAGAGGGCTGGTGAATTTCAGTAAGGATCAACATACCTGTTTTAATTGCCTTTCTAGTTTTTCTTTCTCCATCTGACAAGCTTTTATCTGTGGACAAAACAAAGGCATTTGTATATCAGAAAGAGCTCAAATGTTCTAAAGCTACTCTTGGCCCAGAGGGCAGTGATCTACTCAGAAATCAAGGGGGTGAAGCACTGATAACAGTCATGCCAACGAAAATAGCTGAGTTTTGGATTTTTCAGACAGGCACTGGTTCTATCTTGAAATACCCAAATGAAGTTTGGAAAGTTGGATAGTTTAAAATTGTTATTCCAATTTGTTGGGGCCATTATAATTCTCAGTTTTAGGTTGATGTATTTAGCTCTAGCTATAAATATAGATATAGACATAGATATGGATATAGAAACAGCTTCTACTGCTTATTGAATGTAATTGGAATTGGTCAATTGTACAGTCAAAGGCTTCCACAATAAATTTTAAAAGTTGCATATGCACTTAATACATGCCAGTCAGTGATCTAAGTGCTTTACACTTAATAACTCACATTCAATCTTCCCAATACCCCTATGTGATACTTAACATTATTATTCCTGTTTTACAGACGAGGTCACTAAGGCATGAGATGCTGAGTAACTTGTTCAAAGGCACACTGCTACACTTCATGCTTCTCACTATTTGAGGCCCAACCTCATCCAGCAGAGTCAACTATGCTGGGTTCCCCCAACATCTGACACATCTAGGGAAAGCTGGTTTTCTTTGGACTCTTTAGTAATGCTATTGTCATCCCTATATCCCTATAAAGCAAGGTCAAATGTCCCCTACTGTATGATACCTTTCCAAGTCCTACCTATCAGAATTATTCTCTCCTTTGGTCCTCCCATATAGATAGCATTTTACATTTACTATATGAGTTTTTATAGTCTAATGTGTACTATGTACAGTCAGTTCTCATGATTCACGATAGTTATGCTCTATAAAGTCACTGTGAACACTGAAGTAGCAAACACTGCACCATTCTCCCAGGGAAATGCAGGCTTAGGTTCCTACCAGCTTCTGGTCATGCCATTTTTGTAAATCAATCAATACATAATTTTGTTTTATGTGTGTTCTTTTAAAGACACCTCATTTAATAAATATTATAGATCCATTAACATGGAACTCATGGCCAATAGCGCTATATTCATCCCTGAATGAAGCTTATCTGACACATGCCTTTTCTCCATTAGGCACATCACAGCCTTCCTGTGCTCAGGAACACTGGACAGCACTTCAGCACTATGCTTGGGGGCCATTTTAAAAAAATGAAATCACCGGGGGCTTCCCTGGTGGTGCAGTGGTTAAGAATCCACCTGCCAATGCAGGAGACACGGGTTCGAGCCCTGGTCCGGGAAGATCCCACATGCCGCAGAGCAACTAAGCCCATGGGCCACAACTACTGAGCCTGTGCTCTAGAGCACATGCTCTGCAACAAGAGAAGCCACCACAATGAGAAGCCCGTGCACCACACCGAAGAGAAGACCCCGCTCGCCACAACTAGAGAAAGCCCGCATGCAGCAACGAAGACCCAACGCAGCCAAAATTAAAATAGAATAAATTTATTTAAAAAAAGTGAAATCACCACCAAAAAGCACAAATATGTGAAAAATGTGGCACTATATAGACCATGAAAAGGACACTTTTTACAGCATGAGATCTGAAAGAAGAAGACAGCATCAACTGTTGGACCTCCACTGGGAACAAGTGTGTCAGGAAGCTCAAGTATTTTGCTGCTCTGTACAAGTTCACAAGTGACCTTAAAGGTGGCACAAGAATTGATTTTGGGGTGACAAATATATTTTAGTGAGTAGGCAAATTCACAAAAATGGAATCTGCAAAAATGATGAGGACAGACTATATATGTCCCCCTCATTATCTTGTGAGTCTTTTAATAGAATGGATCATTTTTTAGTTCCCTCACAGCATATAGCAGAATGCCTTGCAGAAAGAAAGCATCAAAATTAGATTACGAGGCACTGAATGTGGCAGGCTAATTATACAACTAAATGAAACTATTAAAAATTCTCCCTTCCAACAGATTATTTATGAAATCCCTGTGAGCCATTACTTGAACTAGATGTTTCTGCATAGATTGTGTTTCACTTAACCCCGAGAACAACTTTGTGAAGTCATGAGGTAGGCATCATTATCTATATTTTACAGGTGAGAATGCTAAGAGAGGTTAAGCAACCTATTTTTAGAGACAGAGGTTTTAGAGTTATAAGAAACATTTTAGAGATCATCTACTCCAACTTTGTCATTTTACAGATGAAGAGAAGAAAGGTTGAATATTTGCTCAAGGTCCTCACTGATTGTCAAAGCAGGCATGAACATCGAGCTTTTATCCTTAAATATCTCCTAAGTATCTTTCACTTCACCACACTGACTGTTTTACCAGTCACTGCCTTAAAATGTCCTTCGTGATAGGAAGAATAAACTCTGGTATGTAAGCGACTAGTGGCAGATCGACTTGACCTAAAAATTCCTTTGGTCAAGTGGTCCGTTTGGACCACTGGTAATATGCTACTCAAATAAGGTAATGCCTATTCTATAATGGCATTTAATCTGCTGTTAATACATTTAACATAGATTGTTAAACCATCTATTATATCCGGTGAATTCTGTCTTCCTTTCACCTGAGTAAATGAGACTTTTGAAGAATAAATGCTTGGATTATCATTATAAAGAAAATTTTGATAGTTTTAGCATATCACTAGGATCCTCCCCTAGTTCATAAGCAGTTATACTGTACTGTAATTAGACAATACATTTATTTTTTGATAGCAATAAAAAATTACAGATAACACGGGAATGAAAATTACTGTGAATTATAGTCTATAATGTAAGTATCTGGTTGTGTGTTTCTGGCTGTACTACAGCTTTAATAAAGGCAAGAACATTGCCAGTCTAGACAAATATTTATCATCAATCTGAATTTAATGTAGTAGAATGAATAAAATTAAAATACGGCAGGAACTAAAATGATTTGTGCAGTGACAACTTCAAAAAAATTAAGGCAGCTTTGCATGTAAGGCATACAAATTGAGACAGTGATTTTCTCACCAAGAACGATCAGAACATTTTCTCACCCACTGTTGTAAAAGTATGTTGCATGAATTATTTTCAGAAAAAGCATTGTATTATATTTTTATCGTTATTTTATTCCTTCCAGTTTCTTAGAAAGGAAATGGTTCTGCCAAACAATTCTCCATGTAAAACTAGGGATTTAAAGTTAATCCTTAAAAAAGATGTCAAAGAAGAAACTAAATTTAACTCACAATCTACTTTGTATTAGGAAGAAGGCGATGACAAAGAGTTTAAAATCTCTTCTAAGACTAAGAATGTTAAAGCTACAGAGCTGTCACAGCCTGTCCCACAACAATTCCTTATTTATTGAAAAACACTGCATAATTTTGCAGATTAAAAATTTCCTGGTTCATTGTTTTTTCTTAAGCCAAATTTGTGTTAGCTACATTTCCCTCATTAACATCAATATTTACCCATCATGGCAACTTCCCGAGTCTATGTTTAATAAATTCTATTGCACCTAATTTTAGTACACTTACATTTAGTATTCTATTCTAATAAAGTGGCTAACATTATCTGGCTTCCTTGAGAGCACTCCAGTTACTTTAAATCTGGGAAACCACTGAACAAAATTCTTGGTTTCACTAGGTATATAAATGACATTTAGTATGTATGTTTTTAGAAGACAGGAACATTCCAACATAGCCCTTCAAAGAAAATGATAAGAATTTAGAAACAACTTCACTGTACTAGAGTGTTTTGGCTTTGAATTTGAGTGCTAGGTAGTTCCAACTCCCATTCTACCAAGATAAATATTATGAGAAAAAAGATCAAAAGAATTGGATTTTATAAAAGGCTTTGGAATCCAATTTCTTGGAAAACTCCTTAATATACTTAAGATGAAAGAAATCTCTAGTCATTTTCATCTCTTTACAAGATTGTTTAAGAATGATTTCATCCCAGGTGCTAATCTCTCAAAAAAGAAAAAAAAAATCCAACAGCAATTATGGATTATGGAAGCCAATTATGGAAGCCAAAATGTCTAGAGTTTTAAATGAGAAAATAAAAATAAAATACATACGTGCTGGCAAAGATTATTGGACTTATACCTGAGAATTCAGCCTGTTCAACTGGGTTTGAGAAGTTTGATTAATTTGCTGTAGCTCCTCTTTTTCTTGATTAAGTCTTTCTCGGTCTGATCGCTCCTTTTTGAAGTCTTCTTCGTATATTTGCACCTAGGAAATATTAACTTACTGTTACTGCTAGCTTCCTTTTCTCTTAAGCCATTTAAATGAGTTCCGGAGAGATGCTATCTGGGTTTGTCCAATCTGAGACATTCCGTCCTCTTTTCATGAATATTTCTTTATGGTGGGGCTCTATCTTGATACATATGACTATAATTTTACCTTTCACTTTGTTTATAATGGCAGTTCTCAACTTTTTTCTCCTTGAGCATATATCAGAAATTCATAAGTAAAGTAATAACATGGATATTTTGAAAATAATTCCCCTCCCCGATTTTTTATTGCATATTCCATTGTTGTGATGAAGCCTTGCTCCTCCCACCCCATCAGTGTTAAGTTTCACTGTTTTGGAGCAAATCATCCATCTCTAAAACAAGGCTTTGATGTATAAATATTGCTTGAAGTTCTGAAAGACAGTTTACTGACAATAGCTGCTAAGTGAAGCCACTAAATACTGACATGCCAAAGTTTCTAAATATAAATTATAAGTTTAGCACAACATAGAAATGAAAGGCTCATGTATGTGGGAGAGCAAAGCATGTTTATTGAAAGATATTCACCAGAGTTGGCCTTTATAAGTAATTGTGGGAGTATATCATAAAAAAGAGTAACATTCTAGTGGAATGCCTCTCAAGAGGTACTCCAAATATTCCAGAAAAGTAATCAAAACAAACCCCCCCAAACCAGATTTAATTACTGTTGTTTTAATTGGCGTAGTGTTGGCTGATGGCTTGGAGACTAGAATGTGGAGTTATGAAAACAAATGAAGCTTAAGAAATGAAGCAAAGGATTTCCTCTAAAACCAGATTTAAACTACGACTTACATGGGAACCTAGTAGCTAGATTTCGTCTATTAAAGTTAATGCACATTGCACCACCATCAGCAACAGTGCAACAAATTTTAACTAGAGGATTATCAATTTTAAGTCAATAATAATAGAACAAAATGTAATAGGCAAGGGGGGGGAATTAAATATTTTACATGGATCTAGATGCAGATATACATATTTAATTTCAAGGCTTTATTCACCAGAAGGTTGCAAGGGAACTATACCCAGCCAATCTGATATTTTGTTTTGGGGTGGTTTTTTTTTTTTTTTTTTTAGTTGAGAGCTGAGGTTCAAATCCAGACACAGTTAAACCAATGCTCTGTAAATAATTACCAGAGGCATCTGAAGTGGGAGAAGTCCATCTGATTAGAACAGATGGACGCTCTTTATCAAACACAACACTGATAGCGATTTCATCACTTAGATGGCCAAGATTCGAGCTCAGTTTCTTTGTGAATTTAAATCCTTTAGGGTTTCACGCAGCACTTGGTGATGTAATGATTGTGGGTACCCAATTAGAAATGTGCACAGTTAAAATGTGAATGCCGAAAGCTAGCAAAAGGGCCACACAGAAACGAAGGAGACGGATTCTGGTCTACTCTTGGGGTTTATGAGAAGAAGAATACCTGCCATTGTCTGTATCAAATACGAATTAAACCTTTACTGTAAACACGTGTAAGAGCAACTCTCTCGCATGTGGTGTACATTATACGGGAGCACTGAAGATGACTCAGGTGTCTGAACGTAAGCAGTACCTTTTTCAGAGGAATGCTGGCTAGAGCCAGTGGTACTTTAGGAGCTGAGAATTTGGCAGTTTTAACACTCTGATTATGCACTTATTCTTTCCATGGGTCTATTTTCAAGCTCTATATTTGATCCTGAATGTAATGAAGCAGATTATTTCAAACTGAGTTGATAGAAGAGAAAATCCAACTTTATGTCAAATGCTCTGAATTTTTTAGATTTATAGATAGGTTACTTCCTATGAAGTAATAACAATAAAGTAAACAACAACAACAATATCACAATTGCTCTATTCTTCCTTGTATTGCATCAGGAATCCTTGTAATTGGCACTTGCTCAGAGCAAAACAGCCAACAAGTCATACCCAGGGGCATCAGAAAATAATACTTCCCGGCTCTTTGTACTATGTCACCCTATCCCCTGCCCCTGCCATTGCTAACATATTTCTGACAATGTGTGCTTCTGGGATTGGAATTCCTATATTTTCTGTACTTATCAATATCACTATGAACTGTTCCAGCCCTTTGCTTATATTAGTTTATTTAACCTCTTACAGGAAAAGAGATGTGATATGCATGGGTGGCTCCTCAGCTAAGCCAGCTCCAGCTGGGTGAACTAAAATTAGACTAAAGTAGTTTAGGCAGTGCTATATCCCCACAGCCCCATGGTGCTGGTGCATGCAGAAGCTTAGAGAGAGCATCCTTTACTCTTGCTGTGCACTTGGAAACAGTGAGTGAAGTTGGGTGAGTTAGGAGGAGGAAACCATTCTACATCAGTAAATTCCTAGGTGGTGCCATCTGTATGTAGGGATAGATGAACAGACCTGGCTCTTCAGTGACTATGACCAGTGCAGAGCATTCCCTTTAAAACTGCCCTCATTGTTCAAAAGCCCAGAGGCCTGCAGCTACAGAATAATAGCCCAGCTGCTACCATTTTCTGAAAAGGTCCAGAGTTTGGGTTAATAGTGTCTTCAAAATAAATCATGTCTACATGAAACCCTCTAGACCCAGTGCTAATAGAATTTCACTAAAAGGTTAATTGGCATACCCCCTTTTTAAGTGTATAATCTTGGGCGAGCCACTTAATCCATCTGAAACTCAATTTTCTCTTTTTTTTTTCTCTTTTTTTTCTCTAGAGTTGGACTAGCTGATCTATATTTTCCCATAAAGCTTTAAAATTAGGTAATTCTAATTAAAATGCATGCAAAAACCTTTGACATGTTTTGAATAGGAGGACTTCCAGAAATGGCTAAAGCAGCATGAACAATGGGCCCTAAGCTCTCCACATGACCGCTCCACTTTCAACTTCTCACCTGCTGTTTGAGAACTTCCATTTCTGTTCTCATCTCCTCATGGCTGCACTCCATTTCAGACTTCCGCAAACAATCCTCAGGAGATGAAGAACACTCCATTTTCAAGGCATCCTGAAGAGCCTGTGTTATAAGATAAGCACACTGTTGACCCGAGAGTTGCCACATCATATGAATTTCTCTACAATTCCTACAGTCATCTCAAGTGCACTCATAAGGTAGAATTTCATTTTTAATGCTACCTTCATCACTGAGTAACTTTCTTCATATATGCATTTATTTTTCAGAATCTCCATCTTTTCTCCATGATGGTGCTTATGTTATTCAACTCTCATTGTTACTTGAGAAGGCTTTGGCGTTAGAGATCCTTCCACCTAGCCAACCATGAGTGGAAAACAGATACATAGCCTTTCTCTAGAGTCTGCTTCAGTCAAATATATGCTCCATCAATAAGGCTTGAACTTCAGGGAGCATCAGAATCACCTGGAGAGGTAGCAAACATGCCCACGCCTGGGCATTGCCTCCAAGGATCCTGAATCAGTATATCTGGAAGCAGGGCCTGAGAATCTGCATTCCTCAAAAGCTGCCGTTCCTGCTCTCAGATGACATTTAAAAAAATATATCTTCATTGAAGCATAATTGCTTTACAATGGTGTGTTAGTTTCTGCTTATAACAAAGTGAATCAGCTATACATATACATATATCCCCATCAGATGACATTTTGAATGATATATTTCTGTTATATAACCATGTCCCTTACAGGAGAGAGGGAAACTCACATAAATGGGAACCCAGGCAGATTCATTATCCATTGTTGTATGGTTCTGCTCTGTACTCCTTTAGCATGACGTGCCTTGGCCTAGACACAGTCATAATTATTCTCCAATAAAACACCCACTAACCCACTAGAGGGTGGAGAGAGTGCTCTGCTTTCTTGACATGCAGTACAACTTGGTGTTTTCACCGTGGGGTGAGGAAGTGAAGCAAATAAGAGACACTTAGATTTGCGAACCAGATCATCATCCTTACTCATAATTCCATGGCACTCTTACATATACTATACTTTTCCAGATTATATGAAAGACATTGTCTCTATTCTGAAGACTTTGGGCTCATGATGAGTTAAATAAAACGGCCACCAAAAACTGTGACAGGACATACCTCATTCTGTTGTGGTTTCAGAGCCCACACACAATGTGACTACTTGCTCATTATCAAATGAGTCCTCTATACAAATAGAAAGGCTCACTTCCAAAGCTCCAAGACTTTACTGCCTCTGTATTTCTTTAGTAGCTTCGATGGTGTTCATCTGATGATTCTATTAGTAACTCACTTCCCTGCATTACTACACAATATGGTCATAAGGATAGAAAAGAAAAGCAAATTTAAGGTCTTAAATATGCATAGCTAAGATTAGAAGTTTCCTAATAGAATGTCTTATAGTCTAGCCTGATGTAAATATCATTTTTCAGGAAGTTGTAAGAAAAACAAGAACTTTTTTCTTCCTCCAAGAATTATTAGACAACAGAAGTTGTTTAATAATTTATGTTTTGTTAGAATTTATTGCTAAGCTACATAGTTCTAGGAATTATCATAATAGTTATATTTTTAAAACATGTGTCACTAGTAATAGAATCTAGGGTGGGGTAAACCAAGTGAGTCAAGATAATCAAATATGCTGGTTCTATATCCTACAGCTATGAATAGACTACTTTTGTAGGTTTTGTAATATCTGAATTTTCTGATCTACCTTTCATGCTATTCAGACTTCTAGAAATTTTGCAAATGAGTCATAAATGAAAGGCGAGTCTAGTAGACATTTATTCCATCTTGGGGTTTTCCAACTTCCTTGAACAAACACCTGTAACCTACTCTAGAGCAGCAGTTTACCATAAGCACAGATATACTAAACAGATCTACCCATCTCACAATGGCAAGATGTCAGACACATCAGTTTTGCCCATGGGTGGCCCTGGTTGACTAGCCTCAGGTAATTTCTCTCACTTTGATCAAACATCTGGCTTCTCTGTCAAGAACCTGATGAAAACAATGCCCTTAGGTATCTCCCTCAAAGCAAATAAGTAAAATTCAGTACACATAGTTGTGTGAACTTCTGAAAACCATATGTTAATTGCTAAGGTGACATGCTACCAATTTCTGCTGAGACCGGGTCAGCAGGCAGTGGGTTTGTGCAAGGGGGGTGGACCCCAAGCTTCCATGCTGTAATGAATGGTGCACACAATTAGCTACCCAAATCATCATTTTGAGTAACTTCTATTTATTACAGTGGTAAAAGGGAACAGAAGAAAAATCTATACTGTAAAATAATAATTTCTTACATTTCATTAGACGCTAATACTAAATGAGAAAAAAACCTAAATGAGAAAAACATCTCTTTGCATTAAATGAGAAAAAAAATCTCTTTATAGCTCATCACTTTCTATCTATGTTTTTAAAGTGACAGTTGAAGGTATAGGTGTGTGAGATGAAATCTTTTCTGGCTTGAAGTACCTTTTATTTTTTCTTACTACTCATAAGTAATGTGTTACGCCTATTAAAACATGAATCTCAGGGCCAAAATTGGCTACTGAACATATTATGTACCAGCAAATTACATTAATTAGTTACTTCATCCATTCATCCAGTCAACAAATATTTAAGAACATACTATGAGCAAGGCCCTGTTCTAGGCACTTGGAATGTAGCAGTGAACAAAATAGAGAAACTCAGGGCCCCATTATGACTGTTGTCTTTGTGAGTCCCTTCCTCCAAATAAATATGTAGTAAAATTATATATTATAATTGCATTCTTACAAAGATGAATATGTTAATATGAAAATATATTTTCAACCTCATACTTTAGTTTTTTTCCTCTGACTTTAAGAGAAATTAAGCATATTAATGGGCCACTATAAGTATTGTGGGCCCTCAATACTGTGTCCACCTTGCCTAGGAGAGAAATCTGCCCTGCAAATATCCTGCCCACATGGAGCTTACAATCAAGACTGGGAGACAGGAAACAATTAAGATAATAAATATGAGACATTATGCATATACTAGAATGCAATGAATTCCAAGGAAATATTAAAACAGGAAATATTAGAAGTGGAGTATGTAATTTTAATTAAGATAACCAGAGAAATCCTCTTTGAGAAGATGACAAGCTCTGAATTTTACTCAAATTAATTTTTCTCACTGAGATTTTCTGATTATAATCATGATTTTTAAAGATTTTACTAATTAAAAAAGATTTTCTATAAACACACCTACACAAAAATGAAGGTTATACATGGGTTTGAGTAAAAAACAGAGTTCTCGGCTGTTTTAATTTCTACAGCCTTTATATCCTTGTGCCTACATTTATAGAAATAGAGAACAGAAGAAAACTGATAAGTAACAACATATCAAAAATGGGAGAGATTTCAAATATAATCTCAATTAATGTCTGTTCCTCTAATTCATTTGCGAAGGATTTCCAGCAGTGATTAAGACAGAAAATTCATTTGCCCTGAATTTGTATCTCTGAACATTGTTTTTCTCTCTTAAACGACAGAGAAGTACACTGTTTACGAAGTCAATCTCCAATTTCTCATTTTCTCCTGAATAATAACTTGCCCCATAAACAGATCAAACATAGCATCACATTTGTAAAGCACCCTATCAACCATACAGGCATATAGTTAACACTTTGGGGATATTTAAGTTACACCTCTGAACACTACTTAACTACAAGATGGCACACGGTCCCAAAGGCAAGCACTGAGCACGTGTTTAAGGCCAGTCAACCACCTACTTTTTTTAGAAGATAATTTCTGTTACTTTGGTCAAGAAATATCTAGCTTGAGAGGTGACTATCTCAACTCAACCATGTACTACAAGTATTACTACGGTCCACATACGATGTGGCTCTTGGAAAAGTCAACAGCAAAGGATTTAATTTTTTTCCCAGAACAAGTCAGCAATCCCTCCCCCCAAGAAAATTAAGGTTTAGTCCATTAAAACAACACACACACACACACACACACACACACACACACACACTCACTTACATGTCATCCTTTTGCAGCAATTCACAGGTAGCTCCTTTGAATAGTTGTTGGAGCAAAGGCATTAAATCACCAGCATTTTCTTAATAGACCTACACACTACTCCCCAACCCCCCATTAAAGGTGAGTTTTAGGCTTATTCTCAGGAAGGCCGCCATCTCATTTTTGGATTTGGCATTTAGCTTGCTTCCATATAGTCTGTATTACACTCAGCAGCTCCACAGTGATGATTTTAAAGAGCAGCCTGTTTTCCTCAGGAAACTTTCGCGGTTGACCAAGAGATAACGCTACTGTTCGCAAACACCCACTTGCTTTATGTGGTTCTTTGATCTACCCCAAAAAAAAGTTCTGACTCTCTTCTATACTTTCTCCTTATCTCTTTCTTTAATGACAATTCTTTGCAGAGACATGAATTCCCCCCAAAATTCTTAGCCAAGTATGGCTGAACGAAGCAGATACAAGTGATTTATGCAATTACAGAGACCTCCGTGCAAGCCCCCGAGACTGAGCCGCATTGCAGTGTGGATTTTGCTGTGAGCCTCAGCCCAGAAAGTGCTCTTTATACAGAAACCTCTCATCTCTCCAGCTTCACCTGGCCTGATACCTTATTGAGGCGTTTTATTTCACATTCAAAATGTTGCTTCTTTTGGCTTGCGAGAGCAATTTTTTCCTTCAAAAGCTTATTCTCTCTCTTCAATTCATGTAATTCTTCATTTAGGCTCTCCTTTTCCTTCTGAAGTAGAAAGCAAGAAAACAAATTCAAAATCAATAAAATTCAGATGAGATGATATTGTAGGAATACTTCTGAAATAAAAAACAAACAAACAAAAACAGGACCTGCTAGATTTTCACTTAACATTCCATTTGAGCAATAATCTCTGGGTGGAGGTCAGGATTAGGATAGAAGAAATCTTTATGTTATCCTTACTGCTACTACGTTTTGCGACCCCAGAACAAGCTATCAAAATCTCCACTCCTCACTTTCAAGGGTCAAATGGGTCTGCAGAAAAAGCTACTTGCTCTTACAAGGTGCTGAAAGAGTGACTCACTAAAAATAACTGAAAGTTCTAATATGCAAAGTGTCATTGCAACAAAAAATACCAAATAACTCAAAGCCCAATCCTGCATCATTCAGGACTGGTGAGAGACAAAGAAGAGGATAAAGGATAAAACCTCAGGCAATAAGACATTTCACCACAGATAATTATTCAGAGCACTGTATTGTTCTGATGATTACTTTCAAAAGGCAGAGATGAGCTAGTCCAACTGCCATCACTCCTCCACTTTTCAGATCACCTTCAAGGAATCCAGTGTTTTAAGTAACTGAAGCAAGGTCGGTGGCTTAGACAATAACAGGATTCAGACAACATCTGCCTCCTATCTCTTAATTTTATATTCTGGACAGTAAACTTTTTGTGGAGTGAATTGAATTTTTAACGAGACTGCAGTTTTAACCCAGTAAAATAAACATTCTGGAATTTAGGTAAATCAAGATGAGGAAATAGCTAAGATATACGTTAAAGTATATTATTTTAATAGCTAACATTTCCCATCACAATGATTAAAGAAATCTACTTTAGGTGAGTCGTTTTCTTTAAAAGTGAAAACACTTCTCTTTGCCTTTGTCTAAACAGAATAGGTCCATGTGTACACAGAAAATTTACCAATCTTTTTCTAACTCAGCATAGTTTAAGAGAAAATTATTTCCACAAGAAAATGGTCCCAACTTCATAGGGAAGAAATTACCATGATTCCTGTGCTGCATGTAAATGGAACCGAAAGGGACTCTTACGTGGCAGAAAGGGAGTTGCTAAGCAAGGAAGGGAACCTGAACTGATGATGTCTGCACTGATTTGTGCTACATTATTGACATTAAGTCATCTAAGCCCTACGTCTCAGCCTTTTCATCTCTAAAACGGCAAAAATAAGAGTTTCCTCACAGATGGGCTGAGGATGTTAAATGAGACGATGAGGGTGAGATACTTTTCAAAAATGTTATATTTTTAAGATGACAAAAGTAATACTTATTTGTAAAGCTCTCTGTAAGCTGAAAAGCAGCTGTACAAATACAAGGAATTGTCATATTATCAACACTGGTAATAAAAATGATTAGTATGAGTAAAAGCAAAAACGCAAAATGAATTTTCTCCTAGGCTGCAACGTCCGAGAAAGACACCCCAAAGCCCTGGCTCAGTTCTGCCCGCGGGTGGAGCCGGGCAAATTAAGGTCTGCCTGTTTGCGCGACAAAGAAGGAAGTGAGCCGGCACCTCCCGCCCTCTGATTCTAGAGAAGTGGCCCCTATTTTTGGCTCTGGGGACTTGCATAACCCGTACCCCCCTGCCCATCGGTCACCGCTCTGCAGAGGGTTGATTTGAATAAACGGTTGGTTCTCAACCATCTGGAGGCAGGGCCCCCCCCCCCCCGCCCCACTTCCCCCCACCGCGCGCTCCTGGGGGCAGGGAGGTCGCTCCCCGAGCCCCGCCCACCTCCTCGCGCTGCTGCAGGTCGCTCTCCCTCTGGCTCTGCTGCAGCTCCTTCTCCAGCGTGCCTCGGAAGCTTTCTGCGGCGTCCAGTTTCGTTTTCAGCTCTGTGACCTGAAGAAGTGGTTCACAGACAGCTGCAGACACCTCGCCTGAAGCCCACAACCCCCTGGATTTATTCCCAGCCTAAGCACCCGGGGACAGAACTGGCTCAGTCTTGGGCATCCCCTAGGGAGTGGCTCTTCTTCCCACCGCCCCAAACCAAGATCGGGTCTTTTGCTTTTAAAAAGAAGTTTCCTCTACAAGAGAAAAAAGCAAACACCAAAACGGCCTCCAGCCTTCTTTCTCTAGACCACACCACTTTCGAGGAAATAAACCCGTAGACCTTAAGGAAGCCTTCTAGGCTTGTCATTCTATTCTCAGCTCGCAAGGTGTGCCTCATCTGATCTGAAAAGGACAGCGAAGGATAGGGGATAAGTGAATATACCTTCCTTGCCGAAAAACAGACATGACCTTTAACTCATCAGTAACCTGCAGCATTTGACCTGCTACTAAATGCCAAATTAGTCGTCTGAGTGACAAGGGTCCAGTGAGAAAAGCCTTAGGGACAGGCACGTCATCAAAGATGGGAACTGTGACCATTGTTAACCCTGGGTCTTCATGCAGCTGCAAGCCGTTCAGGAAGGCAGCTTAAACAATTTTCTCTGGGATCGTGTGCTTTAAAATTTGGAGATCCCAAAGCTGTCCAGACCGAATATTATACGGTGGCTTGACCATGGCCTGGTGTAGTGAAACGTTACCCTGCTCTTTCCAAATTTAGTACTCTGAGTATCAAAATGAGGAAGAAAAGAGCAATACTAATATATTTCTCACGTGTGGTCAAGTTTCTTGACTCTGAATTATTTTGGGGAGTTTACCTTCTCTTTCCTCTCTTTTAGAACATGGAATGGTTTTAAATTATAAACTGACTTTTACCCTTCAAAATATATTTCCTCCAAAAAAAATTCTTTCTCACCAAAGCAAAAGTTTCTTGACAGAGAACATGCTTTGGAGAGAAGAAGGGATTCCCCACTTCCCCTCACACTTACGCTGTTAACACTGCTTGTCTATTTTTCTGTGGAAAACAGCTTATGTTATAAAGAATTAGAGAAGTAGCCTTGCACAAAAAAGTATGAACTTTAAGCCATTTCTCACCTCACATATAACCTTGTGTTTTTATGGCTGCTAGTAACAAAGCCGAGGCCAGGATACTGTGTGAGCTATGATAGATGTGGGCAAGAACTCTAGAGACGGCACTGGGGGCTATATTTAGTACCTTTCTTTTGCCATGCTTAAGACAATTCACTGACACGTTCCTTCGTTCATTAATCTTCAGTACCAAGAGGCCAATAATGCACTCAGCACCCTACCCTTCATCATTTTACAACAGACAGCTGGCTACCCACAAATCTCCTGTAGTTGAAATCAATGAGAATCTTCACATACTTGTCTCCCCGAGATTACCGATTTAAAGCAAATACCAAACAGGGAGGTGTTTACCTTTCTTTCATATAACTTTTTCATGCTTCTAAATTGCTGATCCCATTGCTGGTTAACTTCCAGGAGCTGAAATTATTAAAGTTTGGTAAAGCAACAAAGGATTTTGCCCATTTGGAAATTTAGCCAAAATGAAATCACTTTTCGAGGCTACTAAGGTTTTGGAAGCCATGGGGGAAGACAGTATTCCTTCCACCAAGTTCTGGTAGACCTGGGATAAGTTAATTGAACACATTCGCCTTTCATAATTGGTTCACATATGAAAAACTATTAAGCCTTAGGTATATCAGTTTATTAGCAACTTCTAACTTTGCTTAGTTATTTGAATTTCCATCTTCTTGTTTAATCTAACCAGAATCTGATAAAAAATTGTAAGTATTAATGGTTTTATGTAAGATTTATTAATATTTGAAGGGACTTTTTTCAAACCTTTCCATATTTTTTATGTGCTTACATTGATTATTAAAATGAAATATTTCTTCTAGCTTTTTAAAGGTACAATTTATATTAAAAAATCCCAAGTTCGGGCTTCCCTGGTGGCACAGTGGTTGAGAGTCCACCTGCTGATGCAGGGGACACGGGTTCATGCCCCGGTTTGGGAAGATCCCACATGCCGCGGAGCGGCTGGGCCTGTGAGCCATGGCCGCTGAGCCTGCGCGTCCGGAGCCTGTGCTCCGCAACGGGAGAGGCCACAACACTGAGAGGCCCGCGTACCACACACACACAAAAAAAATTCCAAGTTCAATTAACTGATAATCATTTGCTTGCAATACTGTGTTTTTTTAAAAAAAGTCAGTACATGATTTGTATTATATACTCAGCTAATGGATAGTATCATCTTTTTGGAAGCATAGGTTTTTCAGGGAAAAATAGTTTTTGTCATAAGACAATATTTAGAAACAATTTAGGCTGCAAACAATTTGAAAGTTTTAAAACTGTGTGCCAAATAGATGAAAGAAAAAACACTAAGACCTGTTTTCAGTTTTCTTGTAAGGGAAGTCTACAACTTTCCACATTAAGAGAAATTCCGACACCTATAAATATGGGACAGACATGGAGAAGACTGTCGCAATGACTAAAATGTAGCAAGACTTTCTCTTAATTACAAAACAAAATATCTAATCCAGAGTGGCAGTTGCTAGGTAACTCTTATGCTGGAAATAGATATGACTATTTAGTATAAGACTATATAATATTATTATGTAAAGATCCCTGATCTGTTGTTATTTTAGGGACTAACATTTCTATGCTATGGTAACATTACTCTGCTATAGTTCAGTAATTTTCCAGAAGGGCACATTATTTTATGCAGTATCAAAGAAGAGTAGAGGAAACCATAGAAGAAAACATGAAGGCTGTAGCACAGAAAATGATTTCGAAAAGGAATTACAAAATTGAGAACAGAGTGCCAGAACTGTTAAGGAGAATAAAGAGGTTCTAATATTCATTAAACTCAGAAAAACGGAACTCAAAATAATATCCATCACATTCCCAATGACATTTTAAAACAAATTTCTTTTATGATAAAGCTCCTTAACCCCTGTTGGTCATATGCCCAACTCATGAAGTCATAGCACCTAATCAGTGATACAATAAAGCCTCTGACAGTTTGAGTTTCAAGGTGTGTCAAGTGCCGAGCAGAAAGGGCACAGATGATAAGCTCACCTAGCCCGTGTGGAGGAAATGTCTAAGTTTTGAAAAAAAGTAAGATTATAATTATTGGATTTATGGCTTTGTCATTTTTATTCATTTGCACAAGCACTGAGAGACCGAGTAAGATATGTAGGTGAATAAGAAAGAAGTATTTGCTCTCAAAATAATGCAGTCCAGTATCCTTAAGATAAATACTGTGACCCAATAACAAAAATAAAAGGCACTAGATGCCTATTTTATTCTCAGCATTAATCCATGGCACATGCTTCAACTAATATTTCAAAATTACCTCTTTTTTCTGTTTTTCCAGGCACCTTATCTTTTGTTCAAGGAAATTTGTTAAGTTCTTTCTTCTCGATGATTGAGTCCACTTAAAAAAAAAAAAAGAAGAAAAAGAGTGAAACAGAATAGTCTATAAACAGGAGAAATGCTTCTCTTCACAAACTCTCATGTTGTAATTCATAAAAATATTTTAGCAATAATAATGCTCACACCATAGTCCTTCATAGAGACCTGTTGATGAAAAAGCTTTATATTTTAGACTCTTTTATATGAATTAAGTACCAAAATAATTCTCTAATAAATTACGAATGTATCTATATAATGGGCAAGTAAGAAATTAGGATTTTATGAATTTGGATTTCAACCCTTTTCCAAAAAAATGAAAATTCAGAGTATAATGTATATAGAAATCAGGTAAGTTTCATGCATATATGTTAGGTATTTACCTGGTAAACATTTCTAAAAAATAATTTTTGTAGACATACCCATGATCTGAAGAGTGGCCCTGGCAAAAGTCAGAGAAGTGATAGAAACACCAAGAAAAAAAGACCAACACACTACAGTTAAATGGCAACAAATTGATTCTGAAACAATAATACAATAAATTAACTACCTCAGTGACCATCATTATGATTATGTTATAGAGGTGGGCATAGATTATCTGGTATTTTGTAATTTTAACCAGCCCTTTGTATAAAGCTACTAGGTGACAAATTTAGATTAATAATAAATCATTGGTATGGTGAAAAATTAACCACCTTTCTTTCCAGTTTTTTAAAAAAAAATATTATTCATTTAAAGAAAGCACAAAAGCTCTGGAAACTGCCTGCCATCTGTCTAAATCGACCATCAACAAAGTTCTCTTAAGTACTGTTTTCTCTGTTTTAACTCAATAGTCTTAAAACCATCGCATGGCTGAGTCATATAAGTAATACAATGAATGCGGTAATGAGGGTCGTCCCTAAATCTGCTATTCAGTTTCAGGCTCAATAGCTATTGTGGACCACGAAATTGCTTAAGGGTATTCATGAACAATTAAGAAATATTTTCAAAACATGTTGGCCTTTGCCACAAACGTTACAGGAAATGCCGTTTTGCAATCATCACAGGATTTCAAGGACTTTTTTCATTAGAAATGATTTATAAAACTATTTTCTATCTTTTCTCTACTTATCTTTGTCTCACAATGTTTTACGATTCGAGGGTATTTTATACCCCTATAGATGTTGTTCTTAGTTTTCTTAGCTACTTCCTATTCAGATCCATGTGTAACTAAGACTGCATTTAAAAAGAGACATTCTTCCGTAGGTCAACACAATCAGAATGATTATACCTGCTTCTGACCTCAAGGTGGTTTAGCCCAGTGCCAGAAGTGACATCAATTTCCAGGTGACAAGTATGTTGGGTCCTGCAATTGAGATTTCCCTCTTTTAGGAAGACTTCCAAGGGACTGGACTTATTCTGGATCAGCACAGACTAAATATTAGGCATCTTTGATTTGGAGAATGCTGTGAGCCAACCCTACTTAGTGTGTCCTGGGCTCTGTGAAGCAGAGGTTTGGTGAGACTGGATTCTAGACCAGTGGTTCTCACCACTGGAGCACATCAGAATCACCCTGGGAGCTTGCTAAACATAGGGCACCCTGAACACTGATCAGAATTTCTGAAAGGGAGCCATAGCACCTCTACCTTCTTTTTAATAGATTACTTTTTAAAGCAGTTCTAGGTTCACAGAAAAATTGAGTGGAGAGTATAGAGATTTCCTGCATACCTATTGCCCCAACAAATGGGTAGCCTTCCCCATTATTGGCATCCCCCATCAGAGTGGTATATTTGTTAATAGATGAGCCTACATTGACACATCATTATCACCCAAATCCACAGTTTACATTAGGGTTCCCTCTTGCTGTTGTACATTCTATGGATTTAGACGAATGTGTAATGACATGTATCTATCATTTGTAGTATCATGGAGAATAGTTTCACTGTCTTAAAAATCCTCTGTGCTCCACCAATTTATCCCACCTCTATTTTTAATAAATATCACTGATTATCATGAGTTACACTAAAGTTCAAGGTTCTTCCATTCCATACCATTCTTCGGAATATGAATTTTAGGTCCTCAAAAAGTCTTTTTTCTATTTGTGATATAGACCAAAAAAAAAAAAAAAGATCTGTGACCAACAAATATTTGTATGACCCTACTTTCTGGGAATCTAGATTAAGAGTAATCAGATAGCATGCATTTTTTTCCATATATAATTTTCTCTGGAAAAAAATTATGAAATATTTTGACCCTTGATTTTCTTATAAATGAGTTATTTTTAATTTTTATTTATTTATTTTTTGCGGTACGCGGGCCTCTCACTGCTGTAGCCTCTCCCATTGCGGAGCACAGGCTCCGGACGCGCAGGCTCAGCGGCCATGGCTCACGGGCCCAGCCGCTCCGTGGCATGTGGGATCCTCCCGGACCGGGGCACGAACCCGTGTCCCCTGCATCAGCAGGCGGACTCTCAACCACTGCGCCACCAGGGAAGCCCTGAGTTATTTTTAAATAACTTTATAAAAATCATTTATAAAATGATTTAGTAGAGATATTAAATCTGCAAGACAGAGAAAGCACAGCAATAGGTATGGCTTATAAGTCATAAATGTATCACTAGGGATTTCTCTGAGGATTAATCAACATTTTACCACCATTCATATGTCTTAGGTGTGCATTAAAATGAAAGAAAATCAATTAAATACAAAGTTTTGGGGAAACTTTTCACTTGTTTTTGCTGTGCTTCCCAGTTGCTAATAAAGGCATAGAAAGAATTTTAGTCACTGGTCCTTCTAAGGGCTCATTTAAAGAACATTTATTCCCTATAAAATGTAATCTGTGTTTAAAGTATTTGGACCTTGATTTCTCATTTACCCTAAAACCCAGACCAACTTCTAAAAGATCCAAGTTCTGAGACTGCTAAATTAAATACCTAAATGTACCAAAAAGTCTCAGAGTCCTATTATATCTTAGTTATCTCTAAAAAAATCTTTAAGAAAGCACTTTCATTCATTCATTCAATTAGTAAGTATCTGTTGCAGTAACCAGTAACAGAACAATGACTGTGGTATTAATTACATATATAGAAGTATTTCACCATAGATACTCTATTGCTATAATAGCTTTTATTTCTAACCACACAAATATAATATTCTTTTTACATTTTACATTAAACCAAATTCCTTGAAATCAAGAGCAAAATATGAAACACATAGAATCGAAAAGCTGACAGGACAAGATTTTATTTCTCACTTTGTAAAAGAAGAAATGTAGCTCAGAGGTGTCAAAGGAAATGTAACCAGTCACCTAGATATTTTTCCTTTGTTGAATAACATTCTTGAAATATATAGAGCACATCTTAGTTAAAGAAAGCAAACTAGCCATTTCTACTTTTATTAATCATTGCATAACTCGCCATTAGCAATGCTGTCGATGATATATATGGTCAGTTCATCCCCTAGAAATGCGTTCTTACCTCTGCATGCTCAGTAGAAGATTCTGTACCACTCATTCTAGTTGTGCACTGTAGGAAATGTGCCACGGAAGCTGGTTTTTCTGGAGTCTTGGAGAGCAGAAAGAAAAAAGCAAAGAAAATATCTCTGAATGGTGTCTTTTAAAGTCAGAGCAAATATATATATAATTTTTAAAATACCACACAAATAGTTAACTGATGATAGAAAATAATAGCAACAGTTTTTAACTGAAAATGTACAGAAGTGACTCTGTATGTGAATTATACAGAATAAGGTTAAAAGCACAGCAAGTGTGATTATAACTTTTCTTCTCTTCCAGATAGGGATTTCCCAGGATGTCTCAAGCTGCAGGCTGTGACTAACACGCAAGGCAGATAAGCCTTGCTATGGTATGTAAATTGCCATTCTTCCCTTACTGGAAGTTTCTCCCACTGGAGGAAGAAGTTACCACAGAAAGCCTAGGCAAGGCAAGTCTTTCCTCAGTAGACAAGCTGCCGTAACTTCACTGTATTTCCAGATCAATTAGGTAACTGTTGACTTTTTGACAGCCCAGTTCCTTGCTTCCCTAAGGGAAGGATTTTCTGGCAATGCCTTATACATGTCAGCTTAGCTGTGCAGAATTTAATGAGTCATACATAATTCTCATGGAACTAAAAAGAAAATAATTCATTACAAGGTTATCGGGTATTGTTCGTGAAACTAATCTGTATTGGCAGGAAGTTTAAACTTGGTTCTCAAGTTTAAAGTCTCAAGACTGTCTTTTCAATAGGTTGTCCACATTTTCTCCATGATCCCATGGAAGTAAAATCTTTGCACTAACATTTACCTTTAATGAGTTGGCTTGTCGTTTTACAGGGCACTGAGATAATAGAGCATGTGATAAGTAGGGCAATTATACTCCAATAAAGATGTTAAAAAAAAAAAAAAAGCACGGAAAGCAGATGTTTGGAGCTACACAGATGGGCCGTGATAGAGCAGAAGACCTCATTCTTGACTTGGAGGAGAGGGAACAGAAGAAAAGGCAACAATATAGAAAGGAAAGAATGTGTTGCTGAAAGGAGAAAAGGAAGAATTTAGTCAATCACTTAACTTACGTTTTTCTTTAGACCTCCCTATTTGATATCCACATATATGTAGGATAAATCCTAAAACTCCTGAAATTCAGATTCTTTAAAAGGGAATGAACGGGTGGCTAAGATTTGGCCCTCCTTTTTCTCCTTTAGATCTTCTACCCGTCTCCAATTCTTGGGCTCCAACCGAACTGAATTCCCTCTGCTTCCTGAACTGATCACGCCCCCTGACATCTGTGGCTCTCTCCACCTGGAGTGTGTGTGTATGTGTGTGTGTGTTTACTTTCTTCTGGTTTCTTGGTCTGTTTGGGGGGTACACTTGAGTGAAATAGAATGATATTTCCTTAAGGCAATATCCAAAAATACAAGTGGGAATGAAATTGTTCACAGTTCTAAAGGTAAAACTTATGACTCACATATGATTTGACTTTAGGGAATATAAGCAGGGATTTCCTGGAGACTGACACTTCATTAACAGTAAAATCTACTCATCAGAAAAGAATAAAAAAGACAATAACATGAAAATATATTTTCTCCCTCCCAATCCCTGCTGCAAACACACACACACACACACACACACACACACACACAAAACATAATTATATATGGTTCAAGGTTCCCTTCAGCCTTATTTGTGTATTTGGTAATAATAACCCAGTGGACGTGTTAACACTGACCTAAAGAAATGGTTAGAAAGAACGTTTTCTGGCCAGGCACTGTCGTCGTTGGGTCCCCTCTGTATGGGCCTCCTGTTGCACATTCATCGTTGTAGCCCATCATGATGTGAGTGATTCTACTGAATGGAAATCCTGTATCTTTGCATTTTTTATTATAGTTTTTTCCCTCTTTTGCTGCTATGGCAGTTTAACAACAAACAGATTTTCTATTAGCTCCAGACAGCCATGTGGTGATTTATGAATAAACAATAACTCTTCTGGAGTATCCCAAGTTCGGTTTGAGAAAAAGGGAATTTGCATTAGTACTGTCCTAGGAATAAACTGGATATTTTCTGTTACACATGCCCTCTTCACCTCGCCTCCATCCCTTTCGCATATGCTGTATACTTTAAGAGTCTGGCTTTTAGTCAAGCTTTGTTTCATGAGAAGTCTCGCTAGCTGCAATAACTTTCAGAGAAATGGACATGTCACTCCATGTTTCCAAAGTGATTTTGAAGAGTCCTCATTTCTCAAGTGACTAAAATAATCTCTAGAGGAAAATAACTAACAGAGGGAAATGTGGTGAAGTAAAGGACCAAGGAACTACCGGTCAGTTGTCTGTAACCATCATTCCGGTTGATGATAATTCTCTCAAAATTAGTTCAAGAGAGATCGTCACATTTCTACACATGCTTGGAGGGATTCTTTGGCAGGCTTTTTCTTTAATATCCATTTAGAATGGGGGTTAAAAAACCTCCTTTGCTTCCTGAATCTATTTGCATACATTTCTAAGTGAATGTGCTATCTAGGTAGGAGAGAGAGTACGTGGTGGTGACTAAACATCTGACTCTAGAGTCCAGTCGTCTGGATTCATATCTCAGCTCCGCCTTCACTGCTTGTAAATCTGGGGATGATGCTTAAGGCCCCTAAGTCTCAACTTCCACATTTGTAAACTAGGGATAGTAGAGGTGTCTTCTTCCTGGGGTTGCTGTCTGTGATAATACATAGAAGAGCTTAGATGTTAATAATAATATGACCTTAAAGATAGGGACCATCAATCATTGACACATCACTTACTATGCACATGGCACTAAGTGGATTCCAAAGGAAAATAAACAAAAGTAACAAAAGTTCCTACTTCTAATGAAATTTACATATCTATAAATAAATAAATAAATATATATATATATATATATAGAGAGAGAGAGAGAGAGAGAGAGACATGACTGTAAGAATTCAGAGAGAGCTCATTCAGAGCTTTAATCATTATTGCAGGAGTTGGAATATCTGCTGGGCCTTGAAGGCTGGATAGGATTTTCATAGATGGTGAGAACTGAGATATATTATTGTAAGGGGAGCAACTTAAATGAAACAGAGATGGACAAGCCTAAACATGAAGGATTATAGCAAGCTCAGTGTAACTAGAGGGGGGCTCATGTGGTCTATCTAAAGTCGATTTAGATCAAATTGTGAAAGGCTTTTAATTTGAGACTAAGAAATTTTAAGTCTATTGCATAGGCCATGGGGCACTTCTAAAGACCCTTGAGGAAAGGAATTATATGATCAAAGTGGCTTTTTAGTAAAAATAAACCTGGATATGCACATTATGTACTAAATGGGTTAGACTGACAACTGCAATACCACTTAATAGATATTATCAAAAGTAATATTCAAAATACTTAACATCTCGTGGTAATCAAAATATTTAATAATCAGCTCACCTGGGGCACTCAGAATGAACCACACCTCTGAACTCCAGACACCTATATTAATTGCCTACTCACCATACCTGTTTGGTTGCTTAATAGGTACCTCCTTATCCACTTATATAAAAGCTACTTCTTGATCTTCCCTCACAAGACTCGTCTTCCCCATCACAATGACAAACTTCATGCTCTGGACTAAGAACTTTGGAGTCATCCTTGACTCCTCTTTTTCCTCACAGCTTATACCCAATCTAACTGAACATTTTTTAGGCTCTCTATAAACATACACAGAGGGCTTCCCTGGTGGCGCAGTGGTTGAGAGTCTGCCTGCCGATGCAGGGGACACGGGTTCGTGCCACGGTCCGGGAAGATCCCACATGCCGCGGAGTGGCTGGGCCCGTGAGCCATGGCCGCTGAGCCTGCGCGTCCGGAGCCTGTGCTCCACAACGGGAGAGGCCACAACAGTGAGAGGCCCGTGTACCGCAAAAAAAAAAACAAAACAAAAAACAAATAAACAAAAAAAAACATACACAGAAAGGAGAGCAGCATGTTGCCACTAGAGACTTCCCAGTTTAAGGAGAGAGTGAAATAAACGTGCAATTTTATAAATTTTCAAAATGGAAACTTTAATGATTACTTCCTGATTTTATTCACATGAAAATTCTTAAGAGAGCATCCAGTAGTTACTGACATCTGTCTCTGTGTCAAATCCTAGTTCCATCCTTTACTAGATATGTGAGCTTGGGCAAGAGGCTTAGCATCTTTGCATTGATCAAGCCACCATCATCTCCTACCTGGATTACTGCAATACTATTGCAATGTTCCTTGCTTCCCCTCTGGCTCCTTTCCCATCTATTCTCAGCCCAGTAGCCACTGTGGGTCTTTAAAATATGTCATTTCATGTCACTCCTCTGCTCAAAACCTTTCAATGGCTCCCCATCTCAGAGTGAAAGCAAAACTCTTTATAGTGGCCCACAGGGTACTAGATACTCTAGCCTGTGCCCCTCTGACCTCTTTCTCAGTATCCTCCTGTTTGTTCACTCTGCTCTATGTCCTGGCCACACTGCTGGTCCATGAACCTCTCGTGTGCACTCCCTGTTCTGTCCGCCCAGAACTATCTTTCTCCTAGATAACCTCATGGCTCATCCCACCCTCCACCCCAAATGGGTAATTGCTTCAATGTCACCTCTTTATTAAGATCTTACCTAACCCCCCTCCATTTAAAATTACTCTCCATCCCAGTGTTCTCCTGCTATATTTTTTCCACAGCACTGTATATCATACCCTATATATTTTTCTTCTTTGTTCTTTGCCTCCCACCATTAGAGCTTAAACTCCATGACAGCAGTTGTTGTCTGCTGTGTTCATTCTGTATTTCTCGAACCTAAAATAGTGCCAATTATGTTAGTGCCTATGCAAGTACACACAGTGCTCAGACACACGTAAAGCCTCCTCCTTACCCAAAACTAAATCTGTAATGTTGCTGAGTCATGTATCTTCTCAAGAGGTTGTAGAAGATCTCAAGATCAGAAAAGTCAACTTCTTGGCTTCCCAACTAGTAAATTACCTCTCTTTCATACCCCAAACCTGGGTTTGGACTAGAAGGGCCGCATGAGAGGCGTGTCCCAAATTCCAGAGCCTCAAGGGGGATACAGGC